AATCTTTAAAAAAACCCTGAAGCTTAGAAAAATGGCTTCAAGGAATTATAATTTTAAGCTGTACCACACATTTTGCTCATCAGCAGTTTCTTCTCAAATGTGAATGTGTATAAAAATCACCTGGCATGAAGGTGGGGTGTCGCTTATTAAAATGCAGACATTCTAGGGGCCCTCCCTGGTGGTGTGACAGGTTAAAAGTGCAACACTATGAAGTTACCCCAGCCACTGCAGCACAAATCCCGACCAGGGATGTGACCCACATGGCGTGACAGATCTCTCCTGTCTCGCCCACTGCTCCCCTTAGCAGTATATTTCAGCCAGTCTTCCTGTTGTGCTCCCCACTCTGTCTCTAGTGATTCCTCTCACCCTTTTGCACCTCCGCCCTGTATCCCAGTTCTTATATGCACAAATAAAATATTTTTTTAAAATGCAGACATTCCTAACGGACAGAGCTGGAATGGATCCAAAGTTAGTAAGTGCCCAGGTGATTCTGAAGCCAGGGCCTACAGAACACTCTTGGAGAGCCAGCGTCTTCATGCTACATTCTAGGTGGGCTTTGGGCATCAGCATCTGTTTCTTTCAAGACCTTTCTGAGCATCTCCTTGGGCTGGGTCAGTCTTTGGAAGAGGCCATATTGGAGCATCCAGTAGCAGAGAAGGCAGATGGAGAAACCTGGTGAGTGGTGAGTGCTGGAACTGAGGCAGATGGTGAAAGAGGTAATGCCCACGCTGGAGGGATTTCTGGAAAAGGTGATATTTATAATGGGCCTAAGGAGTTGATTCTTATATTTTAACTACTCTGTGTGTGTGTGTGTGGTCTCACCAGATGACAGCAAAGTTTATAGCTATAATCTCGCCTTGCACATTTCTGCCACCAGTGCTGGCCCATGGTGTGGCATAGAGGCCAAATCAGCTGACCTGAGTAATGAGAAACAACTGATAGAGAGGTTGCCGGGTCCCCGGAATAAATGCATTTTAATGATCAGCATCCTCCCTTTGTGAGGTCCAACATGGAATTACCTTAATGGTGTAAATTACTGATCATACTGTAAGCATTGGTTACCTCTCTGCTCCCCTCTTTCTCTTTCACTAAACTGTGCTCTCCTGGAGATCAAAGTCAAGGTCTGAATCAAGATGCAACCTAAAGCAGGCTCTGGAATGAAGGAGTTTTTTTTTTTTTTTTCTTTTTCAAATGAAGGCGTTCTAACAGAAGCTAAACATTAACTATTGAAGCTATTCCACCTAAAGTAGACCCTGGGGACCTCCCTGGTGGTGTAGGTGTTATGGCTCAGGGCTAACATGCTATCACTTCTGCCACCTGAGTTCGATCCCTGGCCAGGGAGGTGACAGACTTCTGCTGTCTCCCCTGCTGCTCCCCTTAGCAGTGTATTTCGGTAGATCCACCTGTTCTGCTCCCCACACTGTCTCTGGTGAATCTTTTCATCACCACCCCCATCACCTCTGGTCTACACCCCAGTTCTCCTATGCATAAATAAATCTTTTTCAAAAATGGGATTTGTATAAAAGTTTCAAGCTTCATTGGGCAAAACTCTGCTTGGGCTTTGGGTGAAAGGATGGGGGAGGGCACAGGATTGGAAAGACGAAATAGGTGCAGAAAACTGAGGGTGGGAGATGTTATTGGGGCTTTGAAGGTAGGTCTGAGAACTCAAAATGAAAGGCAGTGTCTGGAGATTCGGACTGAGGGTGCTGAGGCTACAGGTGGGGCGTGTGCGCGCGTGTGTGTGTGTTCTGGGGATCACGTGTGATCTGCTGGCGGTGAGATGTGCAGCCATGGATGCTCAATCCCAAAGATCTTCAGAGAGCAGCAGCTTGAGGTGTGTCGAGGTGGGGTGGGGGGCGGGGCAGGGACCTACCCGGCTGGGGGCGGGGAATGTGAACGCGCCTGGCACCGCCCCGACAAAGCCTGCGCGCGCCCGATTCTGCAATTGGCCGCGCCGCCCCGCGCCGCCGCCCCGTCCCTCCCTCCGCCCCCGGTCCGGCGCGCTGCAGCCAACAGGCGGCTTAGCCGCTGCCACCGTCACATCCAGCACAGCCAATAGCGGTTGCGCTCGGCGGCTCGTGGCTCTTTCGCGGCAAAAAGGATTTGGCGCGTAAAAGTGGCTGGGACTTTGCAGGCTGCGCCGGCCGGGGGCAGACCGGGATCCGAAGTGGGATCGTGCCCTCGCCGCGGCCAGTCGCCATGGGCCCGCGCCGCCGCCGCCGCCT